ACCTGGGAGGGTTGGTGGAGCTATCGCGGCACCTCGCGGTAGTTCTTGGGGGCGGGGTTAGCTATATCATATATATATATATATGCGCAGAAAGACAGTTCTTGTGCCGATGGCTCAATATGCTCATTCGTCAGTGCATCAAGCTTCTGGGTTGGGTTGCCGTATCTGCTCTAAGTAAACACAACACCAACGCGCAGCCACAGGAGGCGCCACGCCACAAGGCATTTCACCCATGTTTGATGGCTTGGATTGCATCGACGCATCATCCAGCGATCTGCGAGTGCTAAGACTCTTTCGGAAAAGGATGATGACGCGTGCAACAGAACCTTTACAAACAACTTGTCAGTTGGTGACAGACCGAAGCCAGGACATGCCTGTCATGCTGCTTGCAAATTTGGACCAAGCCCCCTCACGCAGCGACGCTGCACGGTCTCGCTTTCCGGGCTCCTGTGCCGCAACTCATGTGCCCTGGGGCTTTGAACTGAAGCCGGCATGAGGCAAATCCTGTGAGGAATCCACTTACCCCCTGCCGTCAAGCACACCTCCCATGACAACCGAAATCGCTGACTACTGAAGAACTTGGTGAATTACAAACTTGGTGAGCTTCACTTCCATCAGGAAGCTTTCAAAATTCATGGGCAGCGTGCCCTGCAAACCCGACCCCCATGCTGCATAATCTTGTGTCACGGTGTGTTAGAGTCGAGACCAAAATATCAAACAATTTTTCAGTGCCTTACAACCACATGCCACATGCCACGTCAACCGAAACCCATGCTTCTCCCACCCGACGTCCTTCTCCTCCTCCTCCTCCTCGAAGTCTCGCTGCCGACGTGCGGACACGAGCTTCTCGAGAGTCTTTGGAGACCGCTGGGTTTCCTGTGGCTTTGACCGTGCACAAGCGATTAAGAGAACGCTTGACACCCCGACCACAGGCTGTCCTGCATGAACTTGGCCAAGCGGTTCTCGTGTCGCAGATGCATGGAGCGCTCTGGTGGGGAAACCTCTGGGCAGGCGTGGCCGGCTATCAACACTGGGGCTGAGCTGCCTTTTCGGTTCCGGCAATGTCTCAGCCTCCTCCGCTCTTAGCAAAGTCCTGTAAACCCTAAACCACCCTTGAAAGTTGGCCTTCACTGGCGAGCTGATGTGCTCTCGTGCAGCCCATCGAAAGAAGGAAGCGCGTGGACTCTTTGAGCCACAGCGGGTCCAGTCTTCCAAGATAGACGTAATGGAACCACTGTGCCCCAGTATCACCCACATAGGGTCCGGTTCGTCGTCGAGCTCCTCCTCTGGCTTTTTGGGTGAGGGTAAATTACAGAGGGCGGCTCCGATGTCACCAAGGTCCACCATCTTTGCATGGGGTGCCATGGCGCAGGTCACAGACACGGCGATTGCTTGACCGTCTTCACATGTCTGTGGCGATTCTGCGAAGGCTCTGTGTGTGTGTGTGTGTGCCCGCACTTGGATTGCTTCTTGTTGCGCGTATCTGGTCTCTTTATGCCCGAGCCATGCCTGTGCGACTTGCCGAGTAAAGACATCCTCAGCAAAACTCTCGTTCGAAATTGCACCTCCTATTGATGTGCGCAAAACAGCCGATTCTGTCTGACTGCGGGAGCCGAAAGCCAATCCCAAGTCGCAAGGCCTCCCGATGCCTCCACGGCGAAGTGGCAGCTGGGCTCCGGAGTGTCCTTGCCCACTTGAAGCGAAAGGTCCTATACTCGTCCCCTTGCTCTAGCTCTGCATTTCCACCGCGGTCCTCACCTGCACAGGTAGTTGCCTGCCGCGAGAATGACCAAAGCAGTCTCAGCATGTCAGCGGGAATGGGAAAGCTGATCTCGAATGAGTTGCCAAGTCACCTCCGGCGGTCCGATCAGATCAAGCACTGGAATCAGTGCCCGAAGCCCCGGTTGCACCTGAAGTGTCTGGATTGTTCGTAGACCTACCGGCCTAAGGAAGCCAAGCACTCCCGGCAACGCTTCACAAGATTTCACAAGCATCGCAAGCGACCATAGCCCTATAGCTTTCCGAGTACCTCCACGCCACGAGAAGCCGCGACTGCGACGGCACGGCCCAGCTCCAGTACTGAAGGCGCCGAGTCCGCCTGCATGATACCAAAAGGAAGGGCCCAGACAAGGATAGACAAGGAAGTTTGTACTCTGGGCCGTTTGGCTCTGAGGGGTTGCTGCCTTGTCAGCCCAGCCTGGCGAGACTGGGGAGCCCCGGCTCCTAGAACCGCTGCTTGTGCTTCAGAAACTTCAATCCAGGAATTGAATCCACCTCCTCGTGAACAGTCCCCGGCCGCTTTAGGAGGGACCCTTAATAGGG